AGGTGTAGAAGCACAAGAAAGAACAAATGGCAACGCAAGGGCTGGTAGAGCTGTTTGTGTTAGTGGAAGTTAGATAAGCAGGTCATCAAGATCCTTGAGCATATGTATGTGCAGTTTCTCAGGAGATGCAGATGAGGAGACAAAGGACGGAGGTAGCACAGAATGGCGAGATGACACGCTGGACAAAGTGGTTTGGACACATACCAGTTGACTTGGTGCATCTGAGTATGCATGCGTGAGAGTGAGACTGAGAAACATAATTTTGTTTTTAAAATGAAGTCACCCTCCAAGACATTCTAATTGTTACAACGTTATTTTTCTACTCTAGCATGTATTAATTTTTTTTTTGTCAGCAAATCTTAAAACATTGCATGCAAGTAAGGAGGCCATTAAGTACCTGATCTGTGCTTTTCTCAACACAGATTAAACTAAACTATTAAACATGCAAAACAAACATTATTACTTAATCTCAGTTACAGCAACCCTAAGTTTTACTAAAAACTGTGGAAATTAAAAAAAGAGACAGATGTGATTTTTAAATTGAGAATCCCTGCCAAGTCACACATTATTCCTATTTTCTGTGACTGAGTATTTGATGCATGTTTCAGTAATTTCGCTGACCTTCCTGCTAGTTTGGTTCATAGCAAGGCCTCACCAAGTTAAACATTGTCAAAATACACCTCTATTAAACAGCAACTAAAGCCTTCAAATGTTAACAGCAACAAAATTGTTAAAGAAATATCCCTGGGTGTGCTCAACATGCAAACACTGCATCACTAACCTGAAAATAAAACACTGTTAATTCATTTTCACAGTATAAAATGTTAAAGTAAATAAAAATCCCAGTACCTCAGATATTTAAAGCAAAAGAGTTTAAACAATCTAATGACATTATCAGTGATACAAAGAAATCTGCATGCAGAACTCGATTTTTAAACTGTCACCGTCCTTGAGCTGTTTAAACCTCAGAGCATCTATTCAGCATCTCGATATTTAGTATACCTCCAGTCAACTTGCCTCACTTTTTCTATATAGGTCTTATCCTCTCACACTGATATTCCCCTGGCATGAAGAAATTCACCATACCTCTAACGCCAAGAGAAATGCAGTGCTGCTTACGCAATGCTTGAGGTGACATCTTTGTTTATCCCCATCACTTGCATTCCAGACACTTGAGACTGCTCAGATACTCATTTAATGTGTCTTTCACTTTTCCGTATACTTTTAGTTCAATCTAGATGATAAAGTTTAGTTAATTTATATTATGTGCCAAAATGAAAACTTTATGATAGTCATTTTTTGCCCTAAGGAGTAGATGTTATCAATAAGTTAAAATACCTTCAGCTTTGCCTCAGGATGTTCATATGCCTGAAGCGTTCTATTTTCTCATGATAACACAGTATTTGCTTCAGTCACATTTCTTAAAATTACTCTTTTTAAAAATTTTCTACTTCAATACATTTTTTGCAAGAAAATATATATATTTTCAATTATTTCTTACAATCATGTCTACATGAGCCTTTTAAAGCAACACACAAATTTACACAAGCCACTTAAGATCGTCGTAAGAAACAAATAAAAACATTTCTGGAAGATATTTGCCAAAATGAAATTTGAGCAAGAGTAGCATTTAAACATGCTCTGACTTGCAGAAATCATAACCTAAACTGTATAGCTGTAAGAATGAACCTAACTCTATCAGTTTTGAATTCAACAGTGCCAACTGTAACACCAAATGCTGAGAAAAGTGCAAAAATAAAGAAAACAAAATAAAAAACAGGCCCTGTAAAAGTGAAATGCTGTTATCTATGAGGATACAGTATTTTGGTTTTAGCATTTTGTTTCTATACTGCAGCAATTCGTAGTGTTTGTGAAGTTATTTACAAATTTCATTTAGCAAATAATGTTTTTTCTCCTGGAATTGACAAATATAGGTTGGCCTTTTAAAAACAGCATAAACGGAGTCCTTCAAATTGTTACAACTCTAGGCAGAATTCTCTACACCTCCAACTAGCTGGCTTGACAGCCATTCATGGTCGCTTATGCAGCAACTTATCACAAAATTTATAAACTTGAAGTATTGGAATAAGCAATTTACACTCGTTTGAACTTAACCTCAAGTTAGAAGAACAGCATAAATGGAGTCCTTCAAATTGTTACAACTCTACACCTCCAACTAGCTGGCTTGACAGCCATTCATGGTCGCTTATGCAGCAACTTATCACAAAATTTATAAACTTGAAGTATTGGAATAAGCAATTTACACTCGTTTGAACTTAACCTCAAGTTAGAAGAAGACTTTTTCACCAATTAAATCCAAAATAAAAGATGCAGCTTGGTATTCTATAGGAACACCTCATTGCCTCATTTAAAAATTTCCATTGCAGAAAGAAAAAGAGAATACCAAGACCAGAGAGGGAGCCAAAGAGAGCAGGATAAAGAAAAAACAAACTGATTCAGAAACATTCATGCAGTAGGCAGCAAGAGAAGACTTTACACTAATAAATGTAGTGGTACATGTCTTCTGCTGTTACATATAGAGACAGACAGAAATATGTAAGTATTTAATTTCTGCAAAGGACAACTACAGTCTGAAAATTTGATTAAGTTTTTAGTAACAGTTCACATCAGCAGGTAACTGATAAAAGCAGCAATGCACTCTCCCCAGCCAACTGACAACCTCCTCTGCGAGACTCTTATTCTGAAGAGTAAACTGGAAAGAAAATTTAAGTGTGAAATAGGAATTCCTAGAGAAGTCAAAGTACCTCCATTCTTTGGAAACTCTGTTCTGCATAGTATCTCCCAAGAGTCAGGCTAGGTGAGGAACATCTAGAAGTCAAAAAGGAAAAATTGTGGGGGTTCATGACTACATGTCCTGGATGCTGCAATATCCACATGGTGGTGGTTTAATGACAGCCAGGGCAATAAAACGAAAACATTACTTGACAGATTTCTCCTTTGAGGAGCAATATCTCTTACCAGGATGCTACTTTTTTGAAGAAAGTTACGTTAATGCTTTTGAAAAGCAAGTGTTGTTCTAATAAGTCTCCTGTATTACTAGATACTTCCACAGCATATAAGCAGCAAATTTTCCTTTCCTGGAGGCCAGCAAATTTGACAAACCTGCTGATGAAGACTGTCAAAAGGAAAATTTGTGTTTGGAAATTCTACTAGAAAAGACACTTCTACAGAACAAAGAGTTGCAAAATTATTTCTGTATTAGGAAAAAGAAAACCTTCAAAACCAGACCTAGTTATGGTGGAGAACTTTTGATTCAGAAGTAAAAATTCTGATCAGAAGTCACACCTGAAAATTATTTAGTTCACAACTTTGTTTCAAAAACTTATGAGTGAACTGCCATTCCCAGACTGCATGTATCTCTTCCAAGAAATCTGTATTTCTAGGAAAAAGTATAACTTCAAGATTGTATCAATGTCCAAGAACAACTTTTCCCCGTTGTTACAAATAAATATCACCCGTAATGACTATAAATTGACCATGTTTATTCACAGATTATTATTAATAGTCAAACAACGAATATTTATTATTTTAGAAATGCTGACTACATGTAAGTGTGGCTATTAGTTCAGCACTGAAGTAAAAAAAAAAAGTCATTAGCAATAAAGCCATTTTCAACTAACTGGAAGTCAGAAATGCCAGAACTGCAAAGTTTATAATTCTCTGAATTTGGACATTCATTGCTTTCAAGACTACAAAAATTTTTAGCAGTACTGCATTTAAAAAAAAAAAAAAAGAAAATTAAAATAAATTGCCATGAAGATGCACACACTTTAAGTTTTCAAAAGACAGATTCAATAGTTAAGCATCAGAAAGCAAGCACTTCATCATTTCAGAGTTGAATTCTCAATTTAAGCTTGCATAATTATCCTCTGCATAACGTGTCTAATATGAAATCCAAATTTAGGAGTAATGTTTGTACCCCATTCAGCAACTAGCTGACATCTGTCTCCTTTTTCTACCAACAAGCACAAAAGAGCATAGGGCTCTTGGATTGTACTGGAAGGTCAGGAAAAAAGGAAGCGACATTCTCATCTTCACAAAGTATTCCTTCAAATTATTTTACTTCCCCAGGGAAGGCACCCAGGCACCAAAGGAAAGAAAATGTTTGAATACTTGATTTAACCTTTTTATTTGGAAAACAAATGAGAGTTAAGACAATTTTTTTTTAGATATATTAAACATTTCTGTTTCTTATCAGTCAAGCTCTGCTTTCACCTGCCACTGCTGATTACCTCTTAGTTGAAGCAGCAATTTTTGCTTAAATGAAATGCATTGATAGATGCTGTTTAACTAATGCAAACGAGCAAAGAAGCAAGAAATGATATGTTAAGAAAGCAGAGAACATGGCTGTTATACAGAGAAGAATCCCTGCAAATTTGCTGTTTTAATGACCTACAGCACAGTCATATTTTCAGCTCAGTGGAAGATGCACATGCAAACCCCCTGTTTCCCAACAGGGCTAATGTTTTAAATCATTTTTATGAAAATATTTGCATTTACATTGCACTCCAGTGATTACTTAGGGCCCATACCTTGTAAGCATGCACTGTAATCAGTTTATTACTGCAGCCTTTCTTATACAGTCCTACTGATGACTCATCTGTACAAAGAACAACCGCAAACATTTTCTTCATGAGACAGACTTTTGACAGCTTGGTTCTAGTGGAGTCTTTTAGAAGCCCAGGAGAAAGCAAAACACTGCTCCCCATGGAAGAAGCCTTTCAGTCACAGGCAATTTGGCACATGCAGACTCGACATATTGAAACGGACTTTTGCTGCTATATCTCCTCTCTCTTACTGTTTCAGCTCTTTTTCAGTTATTTTTTTCTACATCATAACAATCACACCCTTTATAGTAAATCAAAGACATTTCTTGTCTTTTAATAAGGTTTCAAATACTTAGTGACTAACTACCGTGCAGCAGCTCTGCAAACAGAGCTTGTCATACTTTTACATACTTCTGTACATTTAGCACTGACCTGCTAAATCCAGAAACAGAGATGGCTCCCCTGTTTCCAGTCCAAGATAAATTCAGCCACTGGATGAGAGTGCAGCGAGACTGTAGGTATTCCAGAGATGTGTCATTAATCCTTGCCCAGTAAGGTTGTAAACTGAGATGAATGTACTGTAGAGGATCACAGCAATGTTGATACAGTAGCTTACAAGTTTGCGCTAGTCTACACAGGTCTGGTACTGTAAGGTGACTCAAAATCAACTGGATGAGCTATATTAAAAACAGAAAAAAAGTCACAGATGGTCATATAGCACTTGAAATGTTAAGGGAAAACTGCAAAGGAATAAGAAAAGATGTTCTAACTTCAAAGAAAAGTAAATCCTTTTACTTAAAAGTAACTTCTCGAATAAATCATTGATTAACTATTAAATAGGACTGCACTGCCTTCTCCATTTGACAACATATTAAACAAGAAAGGAAAAAGCAGATCAGCATATGAAAGTGACAGGAAGCTTTCAAATTAGAAGTTTCTTTACCCATGCTAATTTAAACAGTGATATATATGTAAACACTATGTTTACATATTTCCCTTCACAATGTCTGCTCTGCCGTTGATCAGAACACTGAATTGGCATCCTCTTTCTTCTCTGGATTTGGTTTTTAAGATGGTAGCATATTTGCAGAGTACATGGAAAAAACATACCATGTCCCGGTTTCCCCACACCTTGAACTCATTTCAGATTTACTCCTCTGCTGCCTGCTTTAAAAATCGGTGGTTTGTCTTCTACCTTATATCCTCTCCCATCCATGCTGGACTATGCAACTAGGTAAAAAATTCAACATATTCAGATCTTCTTTTACAAAGTAATCTCTTCCCTGCTGTAATACTTTGAGAGCATTTTTGTTCTATGCCAGAGTCAAATCTGCAAGGCAAAACTCCTTTTTACCTTTATCAGATTGAATCATCTCAGCTTCAGAATAATCACCAGCCCTTCTAACTAGCACCACTATACGTGTTTTTGTAATGACTTATCTCACACTCAGAAATTAAGAAATATCCCGTCTCCTATCATGCTCCGTTTTCCTTTCTAAAGGAAGATCAAGACACACAGACACATAAATACTCACTTTAGGAAGTAACAAAAACGCTCAACAAAAACAATCTCCTTTATCTTAGAAACTGAGAGAAAATGCACTTGAAAACTGAAATCTAAAAATTAATGTTTAGTTTACCAGGGCTCTCTTTAACAGCTATAATTACCTGCATTCAAGTTATGTAACTAAAATTGACTAAGACTTTTCAAGCAGAGTGGAAAACAATAACTCGCTGAAATGAATCAGTGTAAATTATAATAAAAAACAAAATAACCCACAAACCAGCTTAAACTGAAGAGAGTCCTGTGGCCATTTCAAAATACCATAATGTTTCATTTTAATGTCTTACAAGGATTCATAAAACAAAACCGCCAAAAATGAGAATAAAATGCTTGACATAAAATGAAAATGAAGCTTTTCGCGAGATCCAAACAGATTGTACTTCCAACGTACCAGTTTATGCAGCTAGCTTCCGCCTCCCCTCCTCCCCCCTTCGTTTTTGGAAGAGAAGAAATAAGAAAACAATCCAACTTCCTGCAAAATGAAAAATGTTACTTCCTACTCAGCTCCAGATTTAGTGTTTGGATTTCAAACACAATCTACGACTCTTCAAAAAATTTAACTTCAACTCCAATGCCAAAATACAGTGTTTGCATATACTCCAGTTTCTCTCAAGTTTGATTTCTCCCCTCGCTCCTCCTTCCCCCTAAAAACAGCCCAGGCTTTTTGTCTCTGCAGGTGCCTGCAACTCTCACCTCAGCTTGATGCAGAGGATCTGCGCAGACATTTCAATGTGACAGCAATAGATACATAAAATATATGTAACAACTCCAGTTAATATATTATAATCAACAAAGATTGCTCCTAACTGACATTTAGTTTGTTGGCATTTTGGTATCTGAGAGAGAGCAAACTAACTAGGAGCTAACATAGATATAATCCCAAGTTAATACCTTGACTTTTGTTTGGCTCAGACCCATACTTCAGCTTAAAAGCTGCTTAGCACAGTTTTGTTTGTCATTCTAATAGCAGATACCTAAACGTATACCTATTTTTCTAAGCCCATCAATTCACTTCAAATAATTTTCAATATTCTGAAAGACAGCTTCAAACCATTTTGCAATCTTTCAGCTATTTCACACTCTGTAAGCCACCTAAATATCTATTTCATGAATGTCTTTTCCCTCAGATTTTTCCCATGCTTATTTAGTAAGTTTTCTAGAGAAGAGAGCTCAAACAAAGGCTGCACAGTTAGCTAAATTTATTTCTACGATTAATGTGGCATAATAATGTCTGATAAAAACAAAGTAACACAAATTTTGTTCAATGGAAAAAAAATATTTTGTGACTTCTGAGCAGTAAAGATAATGGTGAATGAAACTATAAATGCCTCACCAATGTCCCTTTACACTAACTGATGACTTCAATGAGTATTTCATAACATACAGGATGCTGCAATCTTTCCACACCTGAGATGAAATCTCTTATCACATGAACGTCTTAATCAGAAAACAATAATCTTTCTTTATTTTTTACTGAAATTATGCAACTTCATAATATCTAGAATGAAAAAATATAATGAAATGTCACTGCTATGACATTAAGATATAATGTACTTTTTTTCTGGCTTTTGATTAAAGTTGATAACAGGTTCCAAGCCTACAGGCTAATAACCATTAATCACCGTTAGTCTGGAGTCTGTCAGAAATCCGCTTTTTATTTATGTGTATCCTAGCATAAAGTACAATTTGATACCATAATGAGTATGTGATATGATGTGCTGTATTGTGCTACGCTGTGTTCATGGTGATTCCAAGAATACTGCAGAATTGAGTATCTGCTTTGAAAACTAATTTCGTAACACGGTTTCTCGCAAACAACTGTTTTTACTCTGCATTTATGAAAAATTATGGCAATCATTATTGTTTCACACTTCCTTATAAATCCATCAGTAAAACCAAAGATTATTGGAAAAAACAATACAAAGGAATACAAAGAAGAAAACAAAATATAATTTATACCTCATCACCTTTTTAGGCTATGATGGACCAAAAGTACAAAAGTACTTTCTCTCCCATTTCCAGGGCAAACATGGTACATGCTAGCTTTAGAGATGTGGCGAGATCAACACCCACTACAGTGAAAACCTCCAAAAACTGGAGATTTCCAAATCATAAGTCTCCGCAACAATTCAACAAACAGTACACAAATTCATTGTGTGCCGTTTGAGCACAAAAAAGATCCTGATTCACACTTGATCTGTGTGTGTTTTACCATCATCACAGTCTCCGATTGCAGCGTCTTACATATATGTTAAATTTTTTAATTTATACTTCAAAATATATGCATCTTAAAAAACCAGACATCTTACCCACTGCATCAAAGTTCGCTTATAAGCTCAGACAGGATCTCCATCACACTTTTCAATACGTGGGGTAAAACTTTACCAATGGTGTAGCTCCTAACAGTACTTACCTACCCAAAAGTTTCTCCAGCTTTTTTAAGCTTTTTTGCTTAAAACAAAGCAATAAAACAGAAAGCAATAACCATTTGTACCCAATAAAATTATTTCTGTGGCTACAGCACAATAATGCAGAACTATTTGGTCAGAAAATAATGCTTGGATGTTGGTCAAACCTAGAATATCTGCACTTTCTATAAATACCCTCTTTCAGTTCTTCAACGTGAACCCCTCCAATATGAAAATATATTGGCCTATGCAAGCCACTCATTCAGAAACACACAAATGAATGACTTACAATTTTTTCATTCTGCAGCTAGAGCTGACACAGCTTAGACTAATTAATTAGAATTGATACTAAGACATGCTCAGATAAAGGACAAAGGATATGTCCACAAAAAGGCAAAGGGAGAAGGCAGGAAGAAGATGGTATTCTAGGGCTTTTGACATACCTCAACATAGTTTAAGAAAACACAGCCCCTAGTTCCACCATCCTATAGCTTGCACCAGCAAATGCATACACATTTAATAGCGCACCTGAACACATGAAAAGTGGATCTTGCAACTGTTTCACAAAAAACAACCATTTAAGTCTCTCTTTTCTTTATTCTACTCACATAACATGCTTTGGTAGAGTGGGCTTTACATCACCAGGCTAAAGGCTCTGATCCTCTCAGCAATGAAAGGCTGTAAAGGTTTTAAGCCCCTTCTTGATTCAAAGCACAGAAAAGGATCTTACTGAAAGACTGCACAATCAAATAATCGAGACTCCAGAAGGACTAAGGCTGGAGAGATCTTCTCTATGTGCCATTGCTCAGAGCCTAGTCTGCTACAGCAACTGGCAGTATATTGGCCATTAACTGAAGGGAATCTTGTGCCACATGGTTATTAGCTGTTAAGACAGCTTTTAAGACCCTCATGAGTTTCTCCTTCCAAAGAGAGGCGTAAAATCTTGCTGATTATCTGAAAGCCTACAAATATTTGTTCTGGAAAGATATAAGAAGTTTACTGTTGATGGAAAAAAAGTGTATGACACTTAAAAACTCTCCTGCTCCGACTCTTCTATCTAAGTATCATTTAAGGGATGCAGATCTAACATTCAAGACCCGTTTTCCTGGAACATAGGTGCCAAATCCACATTTAGCAGTTAAATTCACTTCCCCAGTAGACATGAACAGCTCATAAATCTTGTAGGCAGCTTTAGGAAAAATTGGCTTCAAGGAATGACAAAGATGTCATTTGTATCTTTTTTTATCAAAATTTATACAAAAAATATATATTTTGGACGTCAGCATGCAGGATTTCTCCCGGCTCCCCTCTCTGGAGAACAAAAGGTAGGTTCTTGGTACCTGGCACATCTTGGTGAGTCTCAAACTGCATAACAGCTATGCTGTGGCAGGTATACCTCACCTTTCTCAAAGGCTTTTAACTTTTT